GGGGGGGGGGGGTTGCTCCAATGGTCTTGTGTCATTTGCCAGGTGCCTTTGTCCAGGTCCCCAGTGAAGCCATTGCCCAGAAAGCACATGACAGGAAGCAGGCACATGGGAGGGCTGTTCATGAACTCTGCCTCCCCCATGGAGCGGACGTGCTCCTCCAGGCCCTCCTGGGGGACCCTCTGCTGCCCCACCCCACAAGCCAGCGAGCCCCTTGCCCTTGGCCTTGAGAGTCCTCCTCAGGTGCCAGGCTCCGGGAGCCCAGCAAGCCTGAGGCAGCACCGAGGGTGATGGGCTCAGGGATGCCCTGGCTGGCCCCATCTACTACCTCCGGGCCCTTGGTTTCCCTGCCCAGCCTCAAGACAAGCTGTGAAGGCTGTGGGCACCCACCCTTCCTTCCCTCAAGGCCCGGCTCGGCAGGCGAGGCAGGGGGCCAGCTGGGCTCTCCCGCTCCAGAATTCCGTTCTCAGACTCCCACCCCCAACCTACTCCCGCGGGTTCTTTGTTCCTATCCAGGATGCACCTGGGTGGCCTCTCGCCCGATTGTTTGCTCTAGGGCCAGCTGGGCCAGAGAAAGAAGGCCAGACCCAGGATGAAGCACCCAGTGGGTGCCGCGGCCAGTGTCCCCGGGAACCACCAGGCCACCCTGAGGTACTCACCAACTTCTCCTCTAAAGGAGCAGGCACCACACACTTCCTGGGGTTCTGGGATTGAGGAAGTGGGGGGACCTCACGGGACTCCAGTTTATGCTCAGACTAAGGCCCCCAAAAAGCAGAATCACATGAGGAAGCTCTCCAGCCGCCCACAGCCAGGCAACTGCAGCACCACCCCATCCTCCAGCCCAGTCCTGGAAGGATGCTTCAGCCCACGATGACTTCTGGTGTCACACGGCAACCCTGCTGGGAACGCTGTGCCTCTGAGCTGATCCGGGTGCATCCCTGTTGATGTGGAAACCGAGGCCCAGATGGGAGTGGGGCCTTGTCCTGGACAATGGTGGCAGGGACAGCCCCTGGCATGTGAGACTTGTCACTCACAAACCTAAGAATGGCCCTAAGCCAGGGCCCCAGGCACCCACACAGCAGCAGCTGCCAGAACACGAAAGCCACCCCTCGCCACTCTCCCAGGACCCCCGCCTCAGACCTCACCAGGTACCTCCCACCCTGCTTCACAGAGAGCCTGGGAGCATGGTCCAAGGGGGACCCTTCCTGGGGTGACCATATTGCAGAGGTGGGAAGAGCCCCAGCCCCTCACAGGTGTTGGTGGCAGACCTGGGGGAGACCTGGGTGTCCCTGCTTCCTGCCTGATGGGTGCTGGTAATGGTCCACCCTGTACTCCTACCCAGCCCTTCTGGTTCTGCCACCTAAGATTCCAGACCTTGTGGTGTCTCCCTCCTTGGAACCCTGGATCCCCGTCCCCCCCCCCCCCAAAATGGCACACACCA